CCGAGGCCCGTGATGCCGCCCCGGGGAACCTGATCTCACTGATTCTGATCCGTCGGCGGGTCCGCGCTTTGTGTTTACGTCTTTGTGCAGAATCCATGTACTTGCTCCCATTTACTATTCTAGCTGTTTGGTGGTTGTTGAAATTTTGTAAGGTTTAACGTGAGATTCTGGCATTTCGGGCAAAATAAATTTATAATTCATTCAGGATTTTAATGAATCGATATCACGTTATCCAAGCTAGAATCGATTTTAATCGATAATCAAAACCCACCCCTAGTAACTGTGTAATCATGCTTATGTACATCTGGATAATGACACAAACTAGTGTGTGGTGCTTCACTTTTTAATAAACTAAAAGACAGAAATCAGATTATAGATTCTGTAGTGTTGTTTATTTATATTATGGTGCTTATCATTCGTGATATTTATTACTGTGTGCATACTTTATTAGAAGAGAGGAGAAAAAATCTCTTCCTTGTTGGTTCCATCAAAGAAGAAATGCTCAAACTATGTAGGACGTACGTAATCCAATTCCACAACACAATGTGATGGGGGAATCAGCTGTGTTTTGCTGCCCATTTTATTTCGAATCTGGCGCGAACCGGCGAGCCAGTTCCTGAATCAGTCACATGGTACGGACTGCCCGCGAGGCCTCGAACGTCACTGCATACGTAATCAAAGCAAGCCTCGATACGCGCTTCACAAAAACTCCCTCGAGATTACCCGACACGGGTTTCGAAGCTTCGACACGCAGGACACATCAGTGTGGTATTGCAGTCTAGGACGACTGCTCGGTCTACCAGCAGCTCACGTTTGGCCCCTCTGGTGTTTCTGCCTATCCCTTTCTATGCCCCGCTCATGTATTGAGAGCCATGTGCCTGTTCATCTTAGCCTCTCTGGTGCCATTAAGAGATTTAAAAAACAATCCTAAAATGTACAGGTAGCCAGTGGAGTGAAATTAAAATGGGGTAATGTGGTCAAACTTTTTTGTGTACTGGTGTTGTTTCAAATGGTTCATGCCATATTTATCTGAACGATCTTTCACTGTTCACATGAATCAAGTGATGATCAACAGTTTTGCCTTGTGAGGTACCTCAGGGATCTGTCCTGGGTCCAATTCTCTTTATGCTTTATATATTCCCCCTAGGCCAAATTATTAGGCGCTACAATGATATCTCCTACCATCTCTATGCTGATGACATTCAGTTATACTGTTCTTCAAAGTCTCTGAGCTTCATAAATTGTTTAGTTTAAGTAATTGCCTGGCAGAAATTAAGCAATTGTTAAATGACAGCTTCCTAATTTGTCTGTGAAGGTTCTCAGTCATCCAGGTCATCGTGGTCTAAGGAGCTTGCAAAGAAAAGCGTCTGGACTT